TACGTAGTATGAATACATCACGCTCGTAATGTACGGGTTGTGAATGAATAAATACATTGTATAAAAAGGTCGCACTTGTAACATATTAGTACAATTAGTAGCAAGAAAGCAAAGGCATGAGCTCAATTCAGAGAGAACCTTACAATGCCGTAACGCCATTTACAGAAATTGTGCTTTACAGTCGACCACAAGCGAAACAAACACAGAAAACGGCTTTCAAAAGAGTGCGTAGGCCCAGTGAACGTCGAACAACGGGATTCAGCAAGTCCTTTCAAATCAGATTATAGCGTAATGCACGATGTTAGCTTACGGAATTAACGCCTTCAGTTGAAATGTAAGCAACTGGGCGGACCATGCAAATTACATTTCCCATGATACACTGGCGCAATTCCTGGGATTGCGGAGCCGCGCTTTAAAAACTCACATGTAATATTAGGTTTTGAGGAGTCCAAACAAGTACACTAAATGAACCAAAAAACATGCGTTTAGAGACATACCTACGCAGGATTTGATTTGCCGGTATTTAATCCATTTTTAAGACCTTGTCTACTCTATTGACATTGGCTCTTGAGATGACTGGTAGCAGACGTTCAAAATTGGCAGATCATAGTTTTGTCTGATAGCAGGGATTTTATATTCACTGAAGACAGATATCTAGGTATTTTATGAAATTATTTTGTGTAGTATATTATGTGTAATGTATGCATGAACTGAAGTATATGCTATACTTTAAGGATATAATACTGTAAAATACTTTATTTTCGCTGGAAAGGCTTTTTGGACGTTTTGTATGGAATTTATTTTCACTGATTTTTGATGAGTTTAATGTGAATTATAGGAAAAAAAAGTATATTCGCTGGATTTTAATTTCACAGAATCATCCCTTCAGCGAAAATAGCGAAAATAAATTCCAAGCGAAAATAAAGTATTCTACAGTTCTTTGACATCGATTGTACAGCAATAAGTCTTATGAAATCTCATATGCAGGTCAATCAAATTTATTTGAATGGTTTTTATTCAATAGCATCACAGAGCAGTGTACAACCAAGACGAATAAGTAAACCAGTAAATAATGCTAAATAAACGGCATGGTAAATACTATGCCAAATCAAAGTAAACATGTACTGCATGCATAACTCAAACCAACGCTTACATACGGCAACTAATCACCTAGCTTCACGTCAGGTCAGGTCAGGTCACGTCTTCCCCTCAGCCACTCGGCAGTTATTTTGGGTTTGTGATTTGAATACCTAACATTGACCAGTCAGGCCCTAGTCGGTTAATTTAGGTGGACAATTGGAGTTATAGGGCAAAGTTAATTAACAATGAATAAAAAATAAATCTTATTAACCTAATAAGTTCTACTCACCTACGTATATTTTTTCAGAATATCTACCCATTAATAAAAGTATAAAAACATGTAATGGTATCAGATTTATGATAAAAACATATCCACCCCATGCAGACACCTGTAGAGAAAAACAGTCAAACTGTTAATGCCTTGGTCTATCAGAATATTGTACACAAATTATGCTTAAAAAAAATAATATTTCTGGTCAGCGTGCTCACTTAAAACATTAAAAAAAGTGCCGTCGATATTTTTTTCCTCATTTATTTCACCACTGCATAGCGCCCTCTTTTGACGAATTGATAAAACCTGCAAAATTTGTACTTCGTCAAATAGTTTAGCAAAAAAAGAAACAATCGCCAATTGAAAAACACTGACCAGAAATGTGTTTTTTCCAAGGCCTTAGTTGGGAAATTTTCTCCAATAAGAAGGGCTTTAAACCTTGACTAATCAAACTGTTATGTTCATAAACCAATTAAAAAGGCAGCTGTTGTCCCGCCATTTAATTTTGTGAGACCTTAATTTTTACAAGACAAGTTGAAGTTGTGGCTCAGGGATTTCCATAAAATTTATTTCCAAGAAATGTTCCCCACTGCAGTAATGACAAAACTAAACGTCCTCGATACTGTGAAGACAATTAACTTTGTTTAGCGAACTTAAAAGCAAGTATATTCTCACAATGAGATGGTTGGCACATAAGCTAAATTAAGATCATGTTAATTCATGCATGGAGTGAAATTCACTAAAATGGCATGAAATTATTTCAAAGTGTTTAGCAGTACTGTAAAACCATTTATTTTCACTGTCATTTAATTTCACTATTTTGATGTTTTGACCAAATTCACTGTGTTTTAATTTCACAAACTTATCAAGGAAACAATGAGTTTTGTTATTATCTCGCGTGTTCACAAACATTTAATGTATCAAGTTTTATTTATCAGTGAAAATAACAAAATTAAAACCAAGTGAATAATTAATGCATTTACAGTACATTGTATGCATGAAGTTGATACAAAAGTCACATTGTCTCAAGTAATATCTCTGATCTTGGGTTT